ACGATTTCTCTTTTTAAATCTTCTCCAGAGAACTGATAAATTCCTTTGATATTGCTCGACATCCTCTTGTATCAATATTCTTGAAATATATTATTGCAGGGTATCTATTCTGTACACACACACACACACACACACACACACACACACACACACACACACACACACACTTTTTCTTCAGGTTTCTTCTATTTTCTCCCTGTTGAAGAGTTCCTCCTCTGAAACGAAGGTCTAAGGACAGAAGGTGTCATATGGTGTACAAAGTAAAGCCCCTTGACGCAAATGTGTGATTTGTGATTTAGGACTATATAAATAAAATTGACTTGACTTGACAGTTCTGTCTGGAAAATACATTTCACAATGTCATGATATTCCAGGAATCCTGTGACCAGTGGAAAATAAATATATCATTAATCATAGACCCACACTGTCTTCCTGTCCTCTACATTAAACTGTTCAGCTAGTTTGGAGCAGTGTACATATTCTAGTATCTCGCCTTTCATACACAAACACACACAAGCACAGACAGACAGACAGACAACAACACACACGACAAACAACAGAAACAGACAGACAACAACAGACAGACACACACACACACACACACACACACACACACACACACACTAGTTCTATACCATTAGCAGGCTGTGGGTATGAAATGTAGGTTTCATTAGAGGATCTCATCCCTCGACCTCTCCCACAGGGAACCCATTCTATTAACCCAGATCTATAATTGACTTCTTCTTTTAAACATACATAGCTGGCAAAGAGATGAAGAGAGGGACTGGCATGAGGTAAAATGGGAGTGGTGGGCTGATTGCTGCAGACGATGAGACAATATCCCTGATTACATCTGCGTTCTGCCTGTTGGGTCTTCCTCTACCTGCATCTATCTGCTGTTCTTTAAAAGCATCTCCAGCTTTGCTGTTCCTCCATGTATGTGACCCACAAAGAACTATCTCAACCTTATTGGCTTCAAAGACTCAGAGAAATGCTCAGGATTGGTCGATGCCTAAGGAGACATAGATTAATCCTACTATAACACTGACATGGCAACTAATGATTAATGATTATTATTTAAATTATTGATTAATCTGCCTGTTGTTGTCTCAGTTAATCAATTGGAATACAAATGGGCAGAAAACGTCCAATCAGAAAAGAGAAAAGAGACAATATTCAGCTTAATACATATAATAAATCTTCCCATTTGAAGCTGGAACCAGAGAGTATTTGGTATTTTTGTCTAAAAAGATTTATCAACCTGCCACCTGTTTTTAAATTAATGAATTTATTTTCCTTGATCATCTCAGCTCTACACTGACACTATTGGCTCCAGTAATCTTTTGAGTTTGTAAATATTTGGCTATTATATGAGCATAGCATTACTCCTGAATTTGGACATTACATGGTGGCACTTAAGTGTACTGAAAATGATCTACAAACCAAGAATCTGCCTACGTGATCATTTGAATATGCACTGTTGTCTTCTCTTATAAATACAGGGAAATGGAAACCAAGCAGGATTTCCATATTCTTGAGGAAAAGCAAAGCAAAGGGGGAAAAAAAACAAGCTTTATCTTCCTTCGGCAGCATAGCAAAGCTGAATCTTAAACAGTATGACTCGCCCTAACTATTCATTGTTGTAACTGCTGTAACTATTTGACAGATAAAGCTGTCCAGGACGCCTAAATATAATGCAATATAAAGCTGAAATGTAACCGCTGAAAAGGTTCTCAGTGTTTCGAGTTCATAAAGCCGTTTCTGTGCAGGTGTGCGTGGGTGAAAACACTGTGTCAAGCAATGCAAATCTGACGCCATTATTAGAAAATCTTCGCCCAGCCGTTCCATAATGTTCAATGACAAAGTCTGAACACAAATACAATGAAATCATTTATTTTCTTTCTGGTTTGGTAATCTTACAATGCGGAAAATATGTAAATATCTGTGATGTTCCATCAATTCCCTCATTTTTTTCCTGTCCCAATTATGTATATATATAAAAAACTTCATTATATTCAAGGGATAACATGACCAGGGGAAAAACCAGTGTACTGTGAGCCTCCTCCTCCTTCCATAACCTCAGAGCAGGCTACCTGTCTTGCTGTCTCCTATATTTAAATGTGCAGCTCTTTTGGAGCAGAGATACCTTACTCTCCCACTGTGCAGGAACCGAGGTCATAAGACCATGAACTCATTAAGGAAATGACATGGTGGAGGTGGTGAGGCCCCGTAATTAAGAGCAGGGGGCCCCCTGGGTGGAGTGGCATTTTAATGGAGGATGTACAGAACAGAGTTAGATAAAGAGGGAGGGGCGGTGTAGAAAGAGACGGTGGGAGGAAGATTCAGGGAGAGAGGAGTTCAGCGTACGCCAAATATAGAAATATAGTGTCAGAAAAGGAGAGAATAGATGGAGATATTTAGAGATTTTACGTGACTAATGAAGGAACAGGTTGTCTGCTGGTTCAAAAAGTCAAGTGAAAGACCTTTAAAGGAGGTAAAGGAATGATTCAAAGGGAAATTGGTGTATTTTCCAACCTGTATTTCCCATAAATGTGGCCATAGTGACTCTAAGGGTATTTCTAACTTTGCACTCGTCCTCTATGTTGCAGAGAAACGGCTGGTTTACTGCTAGTCCACTGATCAACAGTTGGTGGCGGTAATGCACAAACAAGCGAAGCAATGTGCCCGCAAAATAACAGTGAAGAAAAATCTTAAATCAACAATATTATATGAGGATAAGAAAGTATTATGTAAGGAGGAGGTAAGGTAATGGTAGGAAGTGTATGGTTGTAATGGCCGCACTGTACACCTATACAAATATGATTAGATGTTACTAACCATGAAGCTCTGGATGAGCCAGTCTTTGTGAAACAGTGACCAATGAGCTAATACGAATGCAACGTCACTGCTTAACGTTGTGCTTTACATTTTAATACATTCTTAAAGTTTTTATTTTAAGGAACCTTAGATATTATAAGAAACACATAAAAAAATGGTTTCAGAGAGGCCTTAGCATGCATTTGGGTACCCGGCTCTGTGAATTCATGACCCTGACTAAAACAGAAGTTATCAAAGAAGAAGAAGCTATTTGCGGCCCTCCATGCGCCACTCAAATGTCACCAAGAAAAAGAGGAAGTAGCAGTCAGGTGAAAGGGGACCGAAAATGAAGTAAGGTTGTTGTTAGACATATTATAAGATGAGAGGAAATACTTATCAGTTATACAGAACACATCACAGGAAGCCAAACAGCCAACACCACGTTTCCTCTGGAGGCGGCTCACTTAGTGTACTCGTCAGTCTGAAAGGGCACTCCAGAGGGAGGTAAGGACATGGCTGAGGAACTCAAAGACCTCTGGGTTTTTGAGAGGACTGACGCTGGTATCCTGTGAGTGCTCTTAACAGAATACAACTAATTTTGTCCTCTTGATAGGACAGATTAAAGAAAAGGTTTACATTTTAATAATATGAATCAGAGAAAAGACACTACTTCTCAGCTTCTTGAAAGAATGGATAAGATTATGATAAGCCACTTAAAGGCACTTCCTTTCACAGCAGATGATGGTGAAGACAATGTTTATAGAGAATTTATAACCTAAGAACAGACAGAACTTTTAACCTCTAATAACACTAATAGATAGATACTTTATTTATCCCGAGGGAAATTCAAGACATACTGTGCAAGCGGGTTAAATAGTGCAATGTATTTGTTTCATTAGAAGTCAACTGCTGTGTACTGTGATTTGGCTGATACGAAAAGCTGCTACATGTCACCACAGAGTACGTACATGATGATAGTTTTTTTCTTACTTTCAAGATACTTAAGACGAGATAAGTGAGATAAGAGTTCAAGTCAGGCCCCTCCTAGGGCTGAATAAAAACAACCAATCAGAGTCTCATTCCCAGGTCGTCCAAACGAACAAACAACTATCTTTTTAATCTCTGATTGGTGCTTTTCACTCAGACGTGGTGGATTCTTAAATATGACAAAAATTGATTTATGAAAAAGTAACCTACAGCAGCTTTAAAGGGAGGGGGCAAACAAGAATAACAAGAGTGAATTTAGACTGCAGCTAAAGAAAGATGGTGCTGCTTCAGGATCTACGGGTGGGTCGATACTGAATTTCTTCATGGAGAAAAAACTATTAAATTCTGTCTCAGAAAGATTTTTGAGAGACTGAGCCCACCACTTAAAACAAGAGATATATTTTTTTGTAGAGATTTTACTTGGAATACCTGTTGGTTGTTTTTGGCTACTTAGGGGCAGGTTTTGTCTGTCTGCTGTTTTGGTGGTGCACAGTGAGTTTATTGGAACTTTTTAGCTGCCTGCTGTTGCTGAAAAAGATCCTGATAATAGTAATGTTAATGGCCGTAAAACTTTGAGTTAAAGACGGGGAAAAAATGTTCCATAGAGCTGAGAGGAACTGCAGAGTCAGGTTATAATTCTCTGTGGGTTCATCAGTAACACAATATACAAATATAATGTTTGTCTCTTTCTTTTTTTATTTTTGTCTTTGAAAATGCTATGCAAATAAACTTGAAACTCAAAAATATACTCATTACATCCACTGATGATCAAAGCACAAAAGGCTTCTAAATATCCTTTAACCTGTCTCCTCCTGCCCCCAATCAACATACTGTACATCCCTAACATCTGAAGTCAACATGGGACTTAATTTCCCATCATGCCAGAGCTGCTCTGTGGTCAATATCGGTTGTATTGGGCAACTTCCGGGTGTTATTTAACTATCTACAGTATTGAGTCTATCAAATATCTAGAGAAATTCCTGTGTCTGACGATACAGTAGAACTGTAAAGACGGGAAAAGGAAGGAGAGAAAAAGATGGAGGCAGCTCAACCGTAGCACTGGCGATGACAGGTGATGGGGTCTCATGAGCTGGTATGCGCAGTCTCGCTCGTCTTCCTGTCTTTCACTACTCATTCTCGCTCTCGTACTGTACTCAGGCATACAATTTTAAAATGATAAATTTATTTGTACTCACATCTGATGCGGGCCCTTTATCAGCACCTGGACAGGAGAAAGTGACGAACTCATGGCAACGTTTGTGAACCACGAAACAACACACTGCGGAGAGACAAAGAAAAAAGAAAGAGAACATTTATGAACATTGGCCGTGGTAAAAAAGCTTGACACATTCATGTGCACAAAATATAATGTTATTCAGTAATGTATGAAGAAAATCGGTTTTGCCCAGTAAGCACACATATTCAAAGTATTTGTTCTTTTTTTTTTTTTTATTTAGAACGTTCAGGGTAACCTAAATGGTTTGGATGTTTAGTGTCTAAAATCCTGGCCTGGTTTCAAGACTCAAACCATATCATGATGAAATATGCGCTGGTATCCTAGTTTTTCCTCAGCGTATTTGCAATAGATGTTTAAAAACCCAGATTGGTTGTTTTTATAGCATTAAAAGGAGTCACACTGTGTTCATCAGGATGAATAAGTCATGCAGCACTGTATCTGATGTGAGTGAGTTGCAGAAAATAAGAGGTGAATCTCCTCATTGTCACAACTGACTAGGCTCGGCTTTAAAATGTGAAAGTGCAATTTAAAATGTTTAAATTGTATAAGTTAAGTTGAAGAAAATTATATTTTTTTTGATGAAAGCTCAGTTATTTTGCTGTCTCTGAGCTTTTCAAAGCAGCACTCACTTAACCTATGAAAAGCTTGAGCAGTGATAAATGTACAGAGGGATGCTGTGCCTCTGTCTTAACACCCACGCACTCTTATTGTCACTCATGCACTGTTGACTCATTGTCAGCTACTCTGGATGAGAGCCCCCCTCTACAGCCAACATCCACAATGTAATGTAAAATGTAAACTCACATTTATATCTCCGTATTAACAGAATTTCCTGTGTTTACACAGTTTGCTGTCAACCGAATTTAAAAATCGGCATTAACAACAAATTCAAAGTTGAGGTATTTTTCTCCCTAGGCACATATTTGTTGAAAATAACAAGTGTACACAGAAACACACGTGAAAGATCAAAGAAAGCCTGTACAGTCAGAATTCTTAAATGAGATGAAAAGCGGAACATGGCTCCACCTTTTCAGGTCGGGAACGATCAGCGATGCTGAAACATGTGAAAGCTCCGATGCATAGCAAGCCTGTCATCTCCACCCTGATCAATGTCAGCTCCACTGACAGGCAAGACGAACAGGAAGGCTAAAAATACCCCACAATCACACAGACACACATACACAGTCCTTATGATTGTGCCCCAGAGTATATTTACACAGTGCGTATCTCTGAGTGAGAGATACCGAGTAGCGCTGTAAATGCACTGAACAATAAAGATTTTGATGATAGCAGCAGCCTAAACAGGTTATAGAGCGACCACTGAAAATAATAAAACATATTGGAAGTATTTTGCTCTACTGCTGGCTTATGAAATCTTGCAAAAGCTGCTTGTATATGTATTGTTATCCCATTAAAGTAGAGCTACAACGATAAATGAATGAATGCATTAGATAATTGATAATCAGCGAGCAAAAATACCAAATATTCTCTGGTCCTGCTGCTTTCTGCTTTCTTTGTTTTAATGCGGTAGTACACTGAAAATCTTTGGATTTTGAAATGTTCAGACAAAACAAGCTTTCTGAAGACATCATCTTCAACTTTGGGAACGTGCATTTTCACATAACTTCTGACATTTTATAGAGCAAACATGTAATTAATTAATCTAGAAATTAATCTGCAGAATAATGGAAACTGGAAATACCGCCCTATGGTTGTATGCCTCTGACAGCCAGTCAGGTTGCACTTGTGGTGAATACTTGGATCACTATCTTTCTGACACATAGGAATGATTCCAGTGAATATATTGTGCATTACACATGTACTTGATTAGTATGTAAAGATCTGTAGCTATACAAAATGTAGTGCTTTTGATTTCTCCTGGTGGGTGACACTCAATCACAAGATCATGATTAGCTAAGCGCACAGTACGTTGTTTGCAGTCAAGTGATTCTGATGACGACTAAAATTGTATTCATTGCGTCATTGTCAACGTGTGTGTGTGTGTGTGTGTGTGTGTGTGTGTGTGTGTGTGTGTGTGTGTGTGGAAATATGGAATCGCCCAATTCATTCTCAAATTATGGCCAAAAGCCCATTTTAAGATCACATGACTTTTGACCCTTGAGAAAAAGTGTCACCAATTCACAACATTTAACCGCTGTGGTATACTTTTACCTGTAATGAAATGTGTTTACATTGCAGTACTGCTTCTTCTATTTCAGTAACTTAATTAACAGCTTACAGTCAGTATATATCAGGCTCAAAAATGCATTGGTACAAGAAATTAGGATGTTTATTTATGAGTGTTATAAGGTAATCCACACCTTCAACAGGCCAATCAATGGGCCAGCTGACACAGGGACTGCCATCTTCTTTACATCATGTTTCTATGCATTTTATATACAGGAGGCACAATCTGCTGCCCTTTTAAAGCTGCTTACTACCAGATAACATAACCCTCATGGTAAGAGAAGTAAGGCCACATAAGCCTGAAAGAATGACTTTGGCAAACACAGTTTTGAAGAAGAATATACAGATTTGTTTTTCTCTCTGCATATTTGTCTCATGCACAGTTAGTATCAGTGATCAGATCAGATATTTTCACTGTCAGCAGTCTCTACCGTCTCATTTACATATTTGAAGACCGACTATTCTATCGTATTCTATTTAATTCTATTGTCAAACCGCCGCTGATCAGAGGGGTTATAATTAATACAAAGAATCTGTCTCTAACACACACACATGTGCACCTCAATGGTGCTTGACTCCCACGCAATATCCTCTTTTTGGTCACACCACCCACTCACTGCGATGATATCACACACACACACACACACACACACACACACACACACACACACACACACCCACTCATTCCAATGATATTGTAGATTGAATACACTGAGTGAGGGTGGAGGGATAGAGGTAGAGATAGAAATGATGAGAGCAGTGTGCACATATTGCTTTAAGGCAACTGTTCTTTTGAAGTATTGTAACTGCCAAATCCTGAGACCAAAACACACACAAACACACAGGCACACAGTCCACTCAAACACTCTAACACCACAAACCCTACACACAAACACACACACACACACACACACACACACACACACACACACACACACACAGACACACACAGACACACACACACACCTGTCACAAAAATAGAACTGTACGCTATCCAACAACATGACCCTTGGGCCAAAACAAAATAATACCTCCTTTCTAAAATACACTGTGACAGAAATGAAGTGTGCCCTCCATTTCTCCCTTTAACCACACTCACAACTCTTCACCCACTCTGACCCCATCCGCCCAATAATTGCCTCACTCCATTTCCATTTACACATCTGTTCATACTTCTCTACAACGGTAGTAATTCAGAATCAGTAAATGTACTCATTATACTGAATGGTGCCTGTCAGTTATGTTGTAGCAATGTAGCATCTGGTTGAGATGGTGCTAGTTTTGAATATATTACATATACATTACATACTACAGTAAGGAAGTTCAATGTCACGTTTCTAGATTTAATTGTTTTCTCACTTTTCTACATTTTTTCCACCATATGTTGCACAGGTGTTGTCAAATTGGAGAAGATGTTATTGTCCCTTCCTTTTGCTTTGTCTCTGCATTAAGCTCTCAGGGCCACCATAGTATATGAGAGGCAATGTTAAGCTTTCTTTGTAAGCTATAGCATCTGTTTGTGAAACGCTATAGTACCCTGGCAAACCTTGAGCTCCAGATAATCGAACTAATACGATAATTTAGGTAGATAAGTTCAGATGTGTCTGTGTCATAAACTATAAATGTCTATAAATTCTTCTCTTCTGTCTCTCCCTTGGTTTCTCTCTCCTATATTGTATCTCTTGTATCTCCCCGGGTTCCCTGGGGGTCAACCGAGCCTGGAAGGTAGATGCTTCCCGAAGCTTTCCCCACACCGCAGCCCCATCTGCCAGTCACTTATACATTTCAATAACAACTATTTCTGCATCTCAGTTCATGGTGTGGTCTTTGCGAGTAAAACCAAGATAAAAGCACCACTCAGTTCTGGTGTCCTTCCAGTCAGTGTAGATACTTCATGCTTGCATCTCTCACAAAACCTCCCCCACTCCTCCTCCTCCTCTTCTTCCTCCTCCTCCTCCTCCTCTGCTGGCCTCTTGGTGCCCTCCATGAGCTGGTCTCAGTCTGACTCTGGTGTAGCTGGCACCCTGCCTATAGTGCCTTCATTATTTATCATATACATTAAATATCCATGGAAAACACACACACACACACACACACACACACACACACACACACACACACACACACACACACACACACACACACACACACACACACACACACACACACACACACACACACACAGTTTGATGCACGTACTAAGACAGGCACAGTTACAGTTTCTCCACATCCTTCTCTCTGTGTCATTCCTCTCTCTGTCCACCTGTTTCTTTGTCTTTCTCTCTATCTCTCCCTCTCTCATCTCATCCGTTGCATCACTGTGGCTGTGATCTTAGGTTAGGGTTTCGGCAGAGGTAAGCAGCCATGTAGTGTACCTGTAGAGTCTACCTGTAACACTGGCTGGGCATTAGGTTACACTACAGGCTGCAGTTTGCACCTTAAGAATTCAGTCTTTGTTAGACTGAGACGGCTAAGCTGCTGTAGAATCAAAGTGTGTGTTTTAATAATCACCCTTACAATTGCTTTTGTGTTTATGTTGTTTCTGAAGATAAAACCAGCTTCACAGTCACTGACACTCTGCAACTAACACCTTCTCTCTAATTTTGTGACTATTATTACTGCTATGCAAGTGTTGACATGCTCTCATGTTGTCCAAAAAGCAGGGATTTTCATGCAGCTTTTTCCCAGGAAGGAACATACCACTGCTGCATGCACAGTCATGTCAGTTGTCCACATGATTCCCTCCTTTATATCCTTCTCCAGTGTACAATAACGGTGGAACTGCAGGGCAAAATCACATTTATACTATGTGAAATATCAATTGCCACTTGCCAGAAAATTGTAATTAATTAAAA